TATCATACACTTCCTTTATAGTGAGAGTATCACGACTATATAAAATCGTGTCTTCAAATGAAGAAAACGAAGTGGGCAACAAACACAATAGGATCAAGGCCAAATCTTCTTCATCATACTCTACTTCCAAAATTTTCAAATCAGCGACGATCTTTTTAAATACAGGTAGGTGATCTTCCAATGATCCTCCTTCTGTCATTCGATGAGAGTATAAACGCTGCTTGATGTTTAATTTGCTTGTCAAACTTTTAGTCATGGACAATTGCTCAAACTTCAACCATAAAGCAGCTACTGAATTTTTATTCAAAACATCCTGAAAAATAGTATTTGATAGATGAAGATGAATGTGAGAAACTGCCTTTTTATCCTTCCGTAATTTCTCATTCGTGGTCAAAATTGTTAACATCTTGTGAATTCTCAGCAACGTATCATCCAAATCCAGCTGCGCGAGTACTACACCCATCATAATCTGTCATAGTGAAAATCTAGTGCTCCGATCCAAAAGCAGAATGTCATACTTCATGGAGGTTATCACGAACAAAAACCTCGAACTAATTAAACCCCGTACTCTTGCAGAACTGTTGAACCTAGGCTCTGATACCACTTCTCATGAAATCAACCACTGGATTGAGATGTTGAAGTTATATGGCACAATAATTAAATAATTGATCAAACAAAAGAATAATAAAGATAAGAAATATGATAGATGAATTAAGAGATTTTATTGACTCGAAAATAATGGAGAAAACAAAAAATTACAATGAATCTTATAATTCTAGTAATCTATTTTTTCACACCTATAAAATTATATAAAAGAGCCTCATATTTATAGAAAATATGTAGGGGACGTCCAAACCCTCTTAGTAGAGTTGTTGATGAAATAGGATGCAAAAAAATCGAGTCCAAAACGAAATAGGAGAAGAAAACGCGAAAAACGAAATAGAACAGGTGGCGCCGAGCAATCTGCCAGATTTTTTTTTTTTCTTCAAGTTGTTTTCTCCATCTCTTACTCTTCTTCAAGTCCAATATCAATTTCAAATTCCCAATAAACTTTCAAAATAGAATTTCAACTTAACATAGGACTCCAATAACATTCCAA